GAAGAGAGCATGACCCTTCTGGGACATTTACCTATCCAAGTGAAAGAATGTTATGTTGTCTCTGCATGTGACAGAAAAGAACAGTCATCAGACAGTAGCTTTTTTGTGACCAGTTTCCCTCAAGTGTTAATTAAGAATTTGTGAAATGTTTAATATTTTTAGCATATGCAAAACTGAATAATATTTCATTTTAAACAATGTGGCTAAAATTATGTAGATGACAGGTATTTTTTTACATGTATGTATGTATATATGAGGAAATAAACCCCATCGTTTCATACCTATAAGCTAGGTGATAGTATGTCTACCCTTAAAGCATCCATCCTAAAAGTCTATTTAATTTTCAATATTGTAAAATTAGAATATAACATTTTAAAAAATGCAAGAAAATATCAGAGTTGTTATTTTTATTTCCTGTTTGTTTTTTTCTCAATTTTTAGCAACAATATGTATTGGTTTTTATAATAGCAACAAAAAGAAGGCTCTTTTTAAGATCCGTATGTTATAGTCTTGTGCTTTTCTCCTATTTTAATGTATTCCCTCTTCTATTTAATATCTTTTATAAAGAGACTCTAGATTATCAATGACAGATTAAGAATCATAAAAAGCTTTTAAATTATAAACCCCATGGCAGCAGTAATGAAATGTATAACTAGCAAATTGATTACGAATGAACTGTATAGCTGTGGAATTGCACTATATAGGTATTTCATGCGCCCAAAATAAATCTCAAGAAAATCTTAGTGAAGACAACATAATGGCATTTTTTTAGCATTTAGTAAGAATTAGAGGGGTGCTTACAGTTATAAACCTACCAAGATCTGTAGAATTCAGAGGTAGTATACTTGAAAATGCTTTGATTCATTTTCCATGAAGATAAAAGAAATAAAAGCATTTGTTTAGAAATGTATTCCTGGGTGAAATTGTAGATGGCCAATTCTTCCATAATAGAGAATGAAAACATTTCTCAGCAAATGTTTGCTTAAAGACTGGGAGAGTTAGGGTGTATCTCAGTGTAGAGCACTTGCTAGCCATGATGGAGGCCCTGGATTCAATCCCCAACACCAAATAATAATAATAACAATACTGATGTTTGCTTATAGCTGATCTGAGTGATTATACTGAGAAGTGGCTAGTGCCTGAAATTGAAAATTTGATTAATACCTTAACAATTGACATTTGTCACGGTCAGTTGAAGGCATGAAGGAGAGCCTTCTAACCTCCCTCAGCCAGAGGAACAGTGTGGTAGGAAGGAAGCCTGAAGGCCTGTGAGGCAGATCTGGCTCAGCCACAAAATCGTTTTGAGGCCTTGGCCAAATCGCACCATCTTTTAACTTCGGTATCCTCAGAATATGATATCTGCCCACAGAGTTATCATGAGTTCAGGTAAGTAAAATTACATCAGACATCTAGCAGAGTGCCCCACGCTTGGAATCTTCTCAAAATAGTTTAATTCCCTTTGCTGTGAGGTGAGACTGCAGCCAACATCTCCTCATCTGAAAACATCAGGAGGCTCCACAGCCAGTTATCCAGGATGAGAGGCTCCTGCAACATCCCGTATTTTGTACTCTGTTTCTTCCATTCCATATTAACAACAAAAATGTGCACCAATATTGAGTCTTCTTAATAAATGTTAATGCCACTTGCTATGCTCCTTGTGTCTCATTTATTCATGCCTGCTTTAGGATAGAAGTTTAAGAGGTCATTTTCAAGAATTAGTCATTAGACATGTCATCATTTTATATATTTCACAGACAAAGAAACAAATGATAAAAGAATCAGATATATCACCAAGAAAAAAAAAGATAAAACACCAAGAAAAGTAAAAGTTTCTTCTTATCCTTATATTGTTTTCTAGTCAAAAATATCTCAAGAAATTCAATAAGGAAGTGGGAAAACATGATTTTCGTATATGATTTGAGAAGAAATGAAATGAAATTATTGCTGAAGGATATCATAAAGTGATAACCAGCTTCTAAAATTTCTCTGTTCTTTCCTGGTCTTACTAAGAATGTCATAGAAGCATACAATGTATGCTTTAATGTAATCTGAAGTACAGAAACCACTTTTATACTTGAGTGTATTTTCAGTGTGTATTTTCTTTGTTGTCTTCATGTTGTTTCAAATAATTGATCAATACTGACTCTTTCATGTAGTTATATTTCTAAATTTGGGTTTGAAGACTGAATAATTATGCATATATATTTCTTTTCATGTGTTGAACTACTGACTTCAATGAAAAAGAAACCTGCACAGTTGTATTACTGTCAGAACTGATAAGCAAAGTTTAATAGTTTTATGGATTGCTAAATCAATTATTAGACATATTCTGAATTCTAGAAGCATTATCCCACAAGATAAATGAAGAACTCAGAAATAACACAGCTTGATTTTACAATGCCAGGTGGAGGTGGCAATAGGATCTGGGGGAAATCTTGCTTTGATATATGAGTGTATTCACTTGACTTGGCAGTGGTTAGACACTATCTGCATCTATGGAGATGTCATTGTGGCAGACCTTCCCTTTCTATTCTCAGGCCATAGTACACTTATAAAACAGTGAGGCTTATGGGGTATTATCTCAGAAGCCAAAAGGCTGTAAAGAAAAAGTTGTAGCAGGCACTAACATGGGTGTCATGACTCTTTTCAGGTAGTAGGTGTAACCTTGAAGAAAAAGTGGCACTGTCTTCAAAAAAGTGACCTGACCCTGGCTTTGGTGGGTTTTTTCTGCAAGAAATAAAAAGCACCGCATGTATTTATTATACATCCTTTCTAGCTGACCACTGCTTTGTTCTAGAGTTCAGCATGAAAGGACTAATTTTTGTTTCATTTTTATTTTTGTTTTAGTGAGATGGCATGTCTGTTGCTAATTCTAGCTATTGTAGTTGCACATGTAAACAATATATCTATGTAGTTGATGGATTGGTAGCATTTCAAATAAATGATACATTGAAACTTTGAGCTGAAATTTTTTGAGATGCTTATCAATTGACATTTTTTTCTTAGCCCAAAAAAGGGTAAATTATTATTTTTAATTACATCTTGTAATATTAGATTTCTTCTTTTAAATATAGTAGGAATTTAAATATAAGCATGCCACTTTATTTATTGCTATATCAGTAGAACTTCTTGGAGCATGGAACGACTTCACAAATGATTTTGCTCTTTTCAAAAAACAAGTTGCAAAAATATTTGTTATAAACCATATTTAATCTGTGAGTGTAGTTTATGAATATGTACTATGCTAATAGCGTCTAATATTTCAACCAAGGAACTTTTAAATTTGAAAAAATGATAAAACAGTATAATTGTGTCATAATAAATCTTCCCCCAGAAGTCAGAATTGCATGCATCTCTATTTTAGAACGTTCACATTGCTTCATTAAAGAAGAAAGCTGAAATAAACATACAGCCTGATTAGTTATGCAATGAACCATTAAGTTTCCCTTTATTCTTCAAGAAGTCAGTTTTTCTAAGAATTCTGGCCATATAATCTTTTCAGAACACATATGAAAATGGCTACTAACATATCTGCTGAATAAAACCACCCATATTTGAGATTCCATCTTAAAAATCACACATTCTGTATGCTAGTTCTTAAGTCAAAGCAAGCCAGAGACAAACTTTCAGGAATGTAAGCATATTCAGACATTTTAAAATTTATTATCTGTATAAAACTTTCTGTTTGTTTTCACTGTTGGCTACATTTTAGAAACTTAATGCCTGAAAAAAATGGACCCTGTTTTGCTCCCTAGAGTAAAGTTACTTTCTAAATAATTAAAGCCCTTGGAAAGCCCAAAATAATGATGTAATTCTAGCTTTTTTCATTACATAGAAACTATCAAGATTTATTAAGCTCTGGAGTTAATACTGACCCTAGCTAATTCCCTTTTCAGGAAACACATCCCTCTGTCCATTTTTTTCTTTACCTAGGATACTTGTTGGCTACACTTGTATTTTAAGTAGACTTACAACACAAATAGTGGTATGTGCTCTTAGTATAAAATGATTTACTCCAGGAGGTTCTACTCAGAGACCTGAGAAAATGGAAGTTTTTGCTTTTAAAGTGTTTAAAGATTAATTTTTACATAGTATGAGATATTTCTAGTGGGGCTGAGTAGGTGATATTTTGTTTTGTTTTTCCCATTAAGCCATCTCTAAGCTTAAAAATTTAGTAATCTGGTAACTCAAAAGACAAAAAGCCAGCATATCCCTTCAAAGTTCATAATTCTGCTTGCATGCAACAAGCAGAAAATAAGAGACAAACATTCAGGTTAGAAAGATCAGTGTCTCAGTGTTAATTATCTTTTACTTCTGGATTTCTAGAGTTCTCCAATTAAAAGAAATATCTAAAATCTTACAAAAATTTCTCAATGTCTCAAAAACATTGAAAGTAGCACAAAAAAATTATTTTTTAAACCCAGGTCATACTATCTCCACAAAATAAGCTGGGTGAATTTCTGGTATGTCAAGTCACTGAAGAATTTTTGCTGATTTTATAAGACCTTTTCACACATTTTATTCTCAATTCTCTTAAAAATGAAAGACTTCAGAGACTACCCAGCAAAAGCCCTCTGTGGGAGTCAGAGCCTGATCCTAATCTCTGTCCCAAACTCCTTCATTCAAAATGTCTAGGGATGGTTTAGTAATTAATGCTTTATAAATGACCATAATAGGCAACTCACAGTGTGTTAAACTGATACTATAAAAATATGTTCATGTCATTTTAATTGCCTTCAAATATATTATACATATAAAATTCTATGTTAAAATTAAATCAGTCATCTGTAAAGGTGAAAAAGTAGCTAACTAAAAGTTCACGAATAATCTTTTTTCAGATTTTCTGTGTTTTCTCCTCAGCCAAAAGCCTCAAGATTCACTTGCAGCAGCCTTTCTCTTCATTTATGTTGGATTGCTCTTTAAACATTAGAGTATCTTGTAATAAATCATAAGTTAAAGATTTCTCCTGACACAAGTCATTGTTGATTTCACTGTTATAGGGAAAAGGCTCTAGGGCGGCAGATAAGGCTGTTGCCATGGTGATGAAGGAGATACCGAGGGAGGAGTCTGCTGAAGAAAAGCCCCTCCTTACTATGACATCACAGGTGGGCAGACCCATAGGGTTCCTGTAGGAAGCTGACATATGTTAATATATCAGACAATGTGATCATTAACTAGAGAAACAAAACAGTAACTTTTGAGCCAATTATTTTTAAGACAGTTTAATGAAACAACTGTACAAATATAAATGAAAACCAAATTTGCTTTTAAAAAAGAATAGTTATTTATTCATGGATATTAATTTTCGTTACTAAACTTTAGCTTTAAAAAAATGTATGTGCGAGAAGAACATGTTGCTTCTTTAAAAGGAGTCTTGTTAACAACTTTGGGAAAGAAATAAGTCGATGGTGCATTTGAACCACAAAAATCAAATTCCTATGAATAAATACAGCTATATTGTATACATATGTCAGTTTACCAGTAGTGTATCTAAATTTTCTTTAATGTTAAATATATTTATGTTGTGACTGCCTATTACATATTTATCTATACATATTTATGTGGATAAGCAATTTACAGGATTGAGCCAGAAGTCTCTGAGTCCCCATGGAGAAAATGGCATTTGTGACCCTTCTCATCCTTAGTGACCTTGACAAGAATGCCATCTCTATTAAAAGCATGAGGGCCATTTTCAGCACTTGTTATGACAAGTGTAGAAAAACTTTGCACTTGTACGCAAAGACACACTGAGACTGTGGGTGCTGTATGTCCTTGGGGACTTTTGAAACACCCTGTAAAATCTACATAAATATGTATAACATACTCATCACCACTCTGTGGAACTACCAGTTTTAAATTCTTAAATGAAAAATATTTTACTTGCATTTATCTTACGATTTAGATTAGATTGTTATTTTAAACATTTCATTTTTTCCATAATGCAATAGTAAATGCAGTGATTCAGTTCCAATTATATACACATGTGCCTAGAATTAGAAAAATGTCCCCTCACAGGCCTCATGAAAAGCATTTATATCAAAAGCTAAATTATGGCAACTTATTTTTAGAATATCAGCAGAGCTCATCTCCAGCTGCTGCCAACATATGTGGTTTTTATTTTATCTAAATACTATATTGTAAACAATGAAAATTATAACATATAACATTAAAATTGAGTAATTTTTTAAGCTATTAAAGATTCCCAAGACTTTGGGATAAATTTTATGTCATTGGGGTTTTTTATCCATAAAGAAGAGATGCTTTTACCTGTCACCATTAGAGTAATTGGAAAGACATTTGCTTTCTCTTTACCAAGTTCTTCATTCTTTAATTTCCATCTGTGAAGTATATGCAGTTTTACATTGATCTCCTGCTTATCAGAGTCCAACTTTTATGAATTCCATGTCCAAAATAGCCATTCCATAGTTCCTCAGGTGAATAATTGGGAGGTTAAAATTGCTTGAAGTTCTTGATTAATGACAGAGACACACACACCTTCACATAACTCGTGTTGGCATGTTATGCTACAACACACCTTCTCAGGACATCCTACTTTGGACAGGCTCAGGCCCCCCCAAATTTTTCTCCCAAACCATGCACTACTATGTACTTTCCAGATGTTCAAAATTACCATTACAGCTTAAGCTTAAATTTAAAATACAATGCAAAATATTTTTGATTTTTTAATATAGAAAAGAAATTATTACCATTCTCTCACATCCAGAAAATTTGTGTGTACAAAGTTCCTTCTTTAATCCCTGTCTAATGTTGCATTAACTATTTTTGAGCTACTAGTTATAATTTTACTGCATGAAGATTATATAATGCTTTCTTTGATGCATCATATTCTTATTGCATACTGGCCAGTTTATGAATCAGCAAAGAATTCTGATTCATAAAATTTAATGCAACTATTGTATTGACAATTTTATCGAATTAATTCAGTGACAACTGTGATGCAATTATTTCTCGGTCAAATGCAGTTTTATTAGTTGATATACTTTTTCCACTATATACAAGTGGCTTCTTCCCTGCTATGCACCTGTGGCGTGCACAAGCCAAAAAGAAGCAGAATGATCTGAAAAAGTGAGTACTTCCTCTGGCAACCACAGCATCCAGTCCATGTACCATACCACATTCTTACTCGTTATCCTGTGTGAATGTACTAGTGTCTTGACACATGTTTGTCCCAGTGTCTCCTGTAAATTCCCTTATGACATAGTGCTACATACACTCTGCTGGATACATTAACTCATCTTCATCACTGGTATAGAAATGCCAGCTGCTCATTTCATAGATTTCAGAAATGGCTGAAGCTAATTACTACTTTCTCAATAATGTCTTTGCGATAATTATAACAGATAATATATAGAATAAGTCACAATATTAGTAACTTCACTCAACAGATTATAAGTGTGCAGTAGTTCTATATGCCATCATTTTTTAAATTACATGATTTTGTTATGGTTTCACAAGTTTTAGAGGGACTTAACTAAACATACTTCGGTGAAGCTATCTATAGTAGATTGGCCAAACTGAACAAAGTAGAAGAGGTGGCCAGATGACCCCAACTCAGAAATTCTTAGGCCCCTGAGAGTTGCTTTTTTTGTTTAATGTGACTATTAATTCTGTATTAACAATTTCAAGTTCATGCTGTCTTAGATAAATACTTAAACAGTATGTAAACAAGTGTGTATTGATGAAAGGTTCAAAGTGGGGAAAATTTTGAATCATCAAGTCTTTGAGGATAAAGTTTCTCTAGACCTGTGCTGTCCAGTACAGTAGCCACTAGTCATGTGGGCTTCTGAGCACTTCAGGCTTCTAAAAACTGAGATGTGTTGCAAATATAGAACACACACCAGATTTCTGGAGACCTAATCCAAAAAAATTTGTGTAAGCTTTCACATTAGTAATTTTTATGTTGATCACATGTCAAACTATATTATTGAAGTTCATTTTACTTGTTTCTTTTCACTTTTTAAAAAATGGATACTGGAACTTTTTAAATTACAAGACTCTCATTATATTTCTATTAAGTAGCACTGCTCTAAACTTTAAATAGTATAAACAAATCCAATCTGCCAGGAGATTGTCATAGAGAAAACTGTATTATCTTTATGAGAATGAAATTACTTTAGTGAGAATTTTTGTCTCAAGGAACTTTGTGAAATTTTCATTTTGACCATATATCCTGGGCACTTTTTTTCTGTTTTTAGCAAGGTACATCCCACTCATTTTTTTCTGTCAGAGCACAGTGTGCTACAACTGTATTCCAAGTCTCTTCTGGTTATAGGACATTTTCTTTTGCTTCATACTCAGCCTTTGTTTTTCTATCTGTTCCCACTCATTATACCTCGATCTTAGTTTGTTGTGTGTGTCTGATAAAGATAAAAAGAGTAATGTCCTTAATTGGAAGAACATTGTCAAGACTTCAAAAATCATGGCCTTCCTTGGGTCTCTATTTCCAACTTAAAATGATTGCATTAATTACATCCTCCTGCCTGCCTTAGTGCTATCCAAACTGTTAATATCTGTTCATTTCTTTATACATAGAATCATTTTATAAGTCCAACTGTCCATCTAGAAAATGTTTGTAGTATAGAAAATGTTTGTATTTAAATCAAGTCAAAGAGTTGAAGTTATTATGTGGCTACCCTTGACAAGAAGATCCTCTGGGACTTGTACCTAGGAACTGGGAGTGGGACAGTACAGTTATCCCATAGGAACTTAATTCTGTTACCATGACATGGTTCTCAAAGTCTGAATGTTTATGGGATTCATGGTAATGATTTAGTTGTCTTTTCAATAGGTTGAGTCAGTCAACTTAGTTTTAATATTAATGAATCTCTCGCAATCTGATCACTATGTTGATAAACATTACACAGATTTCTAAACTTGTGTTTAATAATAAACTTGTATAAGATTAATGAGACCACAAACAAATAGTTTAATTATAGCATAGCAAATGAAAACATATTTAACAAATGCCACATACTAAGCCTGGTGCTCGCGGTTCATACCTGTAATCCTAGCTACTTGAAAAGCTAGATTGGGAGGATCGAGGCTCTAGGCCAGCCCAGGCAAAAAGTTTGTGAGACCACATGTCAACAATAACTAGACATTGGCATACATTGTCATCCCAGCTACAGTAAGAAGCATAAAGAGGAGAATCACGGTCCAGGCCAGCCTGGGCAAAATGTGAGACCCTAACTCAAAAATAACCAGAGCAGAAATGACTAGAGTCATAGCTCAAGTGGTAGAGTGCCTCCCTAGCAGGCACAAGGCCCTAGATTCATACCCCAATACCACACACACACACAAAATATATATAATGCCACATACTTGAAATTAACAGTGTCAGAGATAGTAAAAGAATTTTTTAAATGCACTGAAACAAACATATTAAAAAATTTGTGTTTTGTTCATGTAGAACAAAACAGGCTTATAGCTTTTCTATCATTTAAATGAGATAAAAAGGCAGCATATTATAATTTTTAAACCAACATTACAAATACGAGATTTGTCAGCTATTTCTAACTTGCTAGCTTCAGTGTTTTAACTCTTCAAATAATTCTTTAAGTACTACAATGCTTAAATATAAAAACACAGAATTTTACTTCAAACCAAAACAGTAGTTCAAGATTATTAATCTGAAGCATAAAATTATGAAATAATAAAGTATTATTCAAATTTTTATTCAAAATGTTTTTGCTTTGTTATTTTTAGTGACATAAGTTATCACAAAACTGTCACAGTACATTTTTGAGTAAAACATCTAAGCAATACATTTCCTTAAAGATAAAGTTAAATTTAATTTATGAAGCAAGCAATATAAACATATACTGGAGTTTAAGTAACAGACAATATTTAAAAGCAAAATACTTTCCTTTCATCTTTGTTAATAGTCTATAGTTAGATCATATAATGATTTTTAAACATTAAAACTAGAGTAATTCAAGTTGAAATAAGGCAAATGTATTTTCAGGTAAAGTTTTAAGAAAGACAATAATCTATTATTGCTGAATGATACTGCATGCATTCATGTGGTAACTAATATTAACCATATGAACTGAGCAGTCTGAATGTCATGATTCAATTGAAGTTA